CCGCCCCGGTGTGGGGCAGCGGTTCTGCTGTTGCCCTCTGGACCACACGGCGGTTTTGGGGGGGCCGGGTAAGAGGGGGGTGTTGGTTCTGCTGGCTTTCATTAAAGTTTTCCTAGAAACCCACTTTCAGAAAACTACTTCAAGCCAAATACTTGCAATCAACCTGCCTTTAAAAAACAAATATTGTACATTACACATTTTTTGGAAGGATACAAAATCTCTTAGCTGCCCGAAAATTTCATCCACTTTGCCAATCTGTTCTTTATTATCCAAGTACACTGGGGCGTTGAAATAAGGCACCTTGTTTTCTTCTGTTTTGCATTTACAAACAATGTCATCTTCGCACGGATGCATGAACTCTCCCAATACTGAAATAAAGACCAAACAAGCTAAAGATCTCAAGCAGTCATTCTAAATTAAATAAATATAATCTATTCATGTCACTTACAAACTACCCTTTCTGGAGGCCCCTGGTCATATCCGCCTCTGTTGAAGCCTCCTCTTCCACCTCCCCGTCCAAAGCCACCTCGTCCACCACGATTAAAACCACCTTTGTCACCGCCACCACTCGCTCTACAAATCGTGTAATACAAGCTTGTAATCCAGCTGAGGATATAAGGGACATTACATGGATATGAGTGTTTCTCTCCAGATATATGAAGACATCTATATCTCTTACATAAAAATACATTTATCTCTTACAATAATCTGGCAAAGTTTAATGCCTACAATCGGGAGAACCAACGTAATGATTCCATCAGTCTCTCCTCTGGCAAAAGAAAGGAAATGTGTATCCTTAAGTGCTTCCTTTTTATCATTTACTTTAAGGCTTTACTTTTGTTATCTCGTCTTGCACTTACAATAAAACCAGTTAAACTGAGGCGGGATCCTTTTGGAGAGATCAGTTTTATTAGTTAATAGTTGAGGCTCCTGTACTTTATTTCTAAACACACTTAAAAATATTTTACTAATGGTTAAAAATTAAACACAAATCTAACAACTGACATTCAAAAGAATCCCAGCCAGAGCAATTTGCCTACAAAGACAGATCAAATTTCATCATGCAAGTGGCCCCAGTTTTCTTGATTTTCTTGTCTCTCTTTTGTTTTTGTGGATCAGAGGTAAGAATTTATTTTATTGTGGTAGCTGTGATTTGTTTTTTAAAATAATAAAATTTAAAAGCAGTTTATTGTTATAAAAGCAAAACCAGTTGATTTTTTTTAAGTTTCCTTTCATAGTATTTGTGTTTCATACATTTGTTTGAGCCCATCTTGAATGTTTGAACCTTTCTATTTCTCTTTAATGTATTGATTCCATCTGGGGTTTACGCTAACAGGCTTCTTGAAAAGATTTTAATCATGATCCTATCCTAAACCAAATTTGCAAGCACAGTTGACTACAGAAAAGTGCTGCAATGTTCCCTGCCCCCCTTTTTCAAGAAATGAGATTACAGTCTTGTAATGCGGCAACATGGTGTATTTTACTGCCTGAAGGATTACTGCGGAATCTCTTCTGGCACAAGTGTCCCAGAACACCCATCTGGGCTGACCGTTCAGCATGCCCCAAGTCTTTTAGAGAAACCCTCAGATAAATATCAGCACCTTTTGTTCCTATTCAGGAGAAATGCCTAGTACAATATGGGAGTTATGTCAAGCCGGAGCTCGCTCAGTTTGGATTTTATTGACCTGACAACAGCAGGAAGAATTTAATAAGATTATACAACCGTTAAAAGGGGGGTTGTTGGATTAAATGCTGCCCCAACAACATCCCCACTGCCTATCCTATGGCCATGATTTCTTCACAAGAACTTTAAACTTCAGCTCTATTGATTCAGTTAGCACAGTCAAAGCTGATAAATCACATTTGAGGCTAACCTTTCTCTCCCATTTTTATGCAAAGCCCATCTATATATATTTTCCATGTTTCAATGTTCTTCCTACCTGTAAATCATAGTAAGCAAAAGCACTTGGGCAGCAACGAAGTCACCAGAAAGCTGCACAAACACAGGTGCAGAGTCACTCACCGAGAGGCAGTGGGACTGAGGGTCAGAATTTGCACTTGCCCTCCAGTGATGACCAACAATCACACTGCAAATCCGCTGCTGTGCAAGAAACAGTAAAAGAGCTGATAAGGAAGGGCACTTAATTTTCAAATGTCTTTAAGATGCCTGTTACTTCAGCTGTTACACAGTGAAACAAATCATTAATTTTAGATTTCTTCATTTGCTTCTAAGTAGTTCATAAATACTTACAGGTGATATTTAAACCCAAAGCTAACCAAACCAATAAAAAAATCTCAACAAAAAACCCCAAGTTGCTTTTTTTATTATTTCTCTGGTGTTTTACGTCCCCGCATGATTTGATTTCCTTACAATCCCATTGCTGTGGTGTGCTATAAACCATTGGCTTAAAATATGTTTATAATCTGCTGAGCACTTCAACTGATGTTTGAAGAGGAAGGAGTATAGTTTGCAGGAGAGCAGTAAGAGTGAAGATCACACCAGGTGAATGATCCAAAAAAGGAAAAAAAAAAAAGCACTGAGAAAGATGAGGTGGCCAAACACAAGGGAATAAACACTATAAATGATATTTAGCACCTTTGTGCTCATAAGATAGAAGGCTTATGAATGAACACTTTGTTGAGGTCACTAAAGGGATACGCAGAACTCTTGGTGCAGTTCCTAGTCTTACTCTTTTCTTTTACTTTGTGCTTTGCAGAATGCAGCGTCTAATGCTGAAGAAAACCAGTTTCAGCAGGTTGAGCCTGCCCAGCCAGCTGAGCAAGACACCCACCTCATAGGAGAATGCTTAAGCAACAAATACACGCACAAGTCCTGTGAGAAAGTTTTTTGTAACCCATGGGAACGATGTGTGGAGGGAAAATGCCTTTGTAAGCTTCCCTACCAGTGCCCAAAGAATGGCTCTTCAGTTTGTTCTACCAATGGAAAGTACTTCCATACTTATTGTCACCTAAAAAGCTATGAGTGCCAACGTCCCGAAGCAAAGTTTCTGCACAAGGGAAAATGCAATTCTGAAGGTATTAACACCTCCTTTTCCAAATGTATTATCAGTCAGTCACTCGTGGCCAAGGAGATGCTTTACTATTTACAGCTCAGAAAGTCTGTTCATTTCCTTGCACTAGTAAGAACATGAAACAGAAAATGAGAAGTCATTGAAAATGGGCAGTATCTGTTGATTTTCATAAAAATAAAGTGATTGACAAGCCCAGCTCACCCTGCTGTTGGTAGGTTGCTCAAATAATCAGGTAGAAAGGGGAGAAATAGACACAGGAAAGAGCTCAAAGGTTTCGAAGCAGGTTGTTGATGATGGTGGGCAGCACAGCAGGAGAGGGCCTTGCCTGCAGAGAACGTTAGCAGAGAGGGTATCTTTTGGAGAGGGACAGACCGCACAGGAGCAAGAGTCCAAGGAACGGAGTCAAGATGCTGAGGTGTGTGTGGGAGTGCACGGGGAGAAGGTAAGCCATGTTCACCTCAACCATCTTCACGCTGTGGATTTGAGCAAAACAGAAAGCTATTACCCTGCAAACCAGTGATGGTTTGTGCACTGACAAGCATCTGTTCATTCTCACCTGCTTTTTAGGCTGCACCAAGCTGTTTTGTCAGCTCTATCTCTGCCTGAGTGCAGGGAGAAATGACTCCTGCTCACAGGGCAGGTGACCCCCCTTAGCAGTAGCAGTCTGTTCCTACTTGTCCTCCAACCCCACCTCTACCCATCCCAGCAGGAGCAGCAAGCCAGGCCCAGGGCTCTCCTGCCCAATCTGTCCCAGTGCCATCCCTCCCTGTCCCCACAGAAGCAGCAGCTCAGCCCATCGCCTGCAGAGCAGCAAAACTCAATTCTGCCTATGCCATGGAAAAGGATTGGGAGCCCCCGTGTGTTCCTGGCACGCTCTCTGTCTGGCTTCACTAAGTTAAGCAGAGGACCTTAGCTCCACCATAAACATTAGAAGTTTTGCTGCACAGGTAATAGAAGCAGGATCTGTTCCTCTCACTTGAAGTGGTACTGGTTGGTTATCAAAAGTCCTCTGATGAAAGTCACTATGTTAAGATGCAACCTTTCCTCGGTAGACCTCCAGGTACACTTCTGTGGTAAGAACCATTACCCTCATTTGTCCTGAAACTGGTATATTTTGAAAAAGTGTCAGGCTCAAAGCCGCGAAGTCAATACTCAGAAAAAACAGGAATAATACCTGAAGCTTCTGATTTCCAGTCTACTGTTCTTTCCATATGAACTTTGGCTGTGAGTACAAAATTAGTCCTGATTTGTTTCTGTGCTGTCTTTCCACTAGATACATCAATATCATATAATTTTATTTGGAGAATTTTTTTTATTTCTCTTTTTTTAGGAACATTTTCAATCTCTGGGGGCCATGGAGATTCAAGTTTGCTTCGAGTAAAACCTGTGAATCAAAAGAATTACTTTTTTGTATGTGATAGTGAGTGGACTATGAATGAAGCAAATGTGGCTTGCAAGCACCTTGGCTTTGAATTGTAAGTTTGGAGAATTTATCTCTGTAAAACTGCGAAAGATATGAAAAAGCATCAATGCTTACATAAGTCTCAGCCACAGCCAGCCAACAGTTAAGACAGAAAACTCATGAACAATGTATTGGCTACAATATTGTGACAAAGCTTCTAAAATTGACACTTGAGAGTGAAAGCCAAAACACAGCCTTCTGTGTTCTATTACAGATTACAACTGTACAAACCATAATTGGTTTACTTTTAAAATAAAGCTGCAGACCAATGCAGAAGTTTTCTCTCAGCTCTTTGTAGCGGAAAGTGCATAGATGGACCATCCCCAAGTAGCTCTGCGCAATAACCTGGATGCAGAGAAAAGTTTCTTGCGCTAGCTGACAACAGGATACGGCTCTGTTTTGCCACGTGCACCAGGCAGACTAACAAGAACCAGAACACGTTTCTTTTCTTCGCCCCTTGCCCCCTCTGCCATTGCTTGCTTTGCTCCCCAGGTATGGCTGAAGCCACACAGAGCTTGTTCTTTTTCCTGTGACCACACTGACAACCTGACTCACACATTCAGCTCCTCATAAAGAGTCAGCTCTATATCCTGAGCTTATTAATTTTACACATAGACAACTAATTCAACTTAGTCAGGTAGGGCTGCCTCCCCAGTCCTACCCAAAAACTAAAAATGCTATTGCAGTGCCCTAAATTGTCCCCTCTAGGTGAGAGGCAAATATTTCCTAGTCCTGATCCGTATCTCTTTAGATAGCAGAGAAGGGTTTGTCCTGGGACAGAGCATTCAGCCCTGGAGTCCCATTGTAAGCCTTTCTGGTTACTTATTTACTCAATCCATATTTCTTTAAGGTAGGGGACACATACACTGTTAGGAGGACACCGCTAAGGAAAACCCAAGGGAGAAAAAATTTATTAACCCCAGACTTGCAGTGGTCCAAGCTCCCTCCATATTGATTGGTTTTGAAGACATCAAGGATACTTTGCCCCATGCAGGATGGTTTGCAAATTATGGCTCACCTGTGTCCACACGGAGAGAGAGAGAGCTGAGCTTACAAGTTCTGCTAACATAAGGAGACTTTTCTATCCATCGTGATACACAGTGACTGTCACAGAACTTTATACATATCGATACATATGGACAGTTCTATGCAGCAACCTGCAAAAAATTAGCACTTTGTTTTACTTTTTCCTCCAAAGTAAACATCTCCTACTTACCCCTAGACGATTCCATGGGAAATCTGCTCTTTCTTTTAGCCATGACCAAAATTCTTTAACACTGACGAAAATCTTATAAATTCTAAATAACAAAAGCAGTGGACAATCCATTGTGAAATGATATAATTTATTATTGTTATTTGTATTCTCACAGAGGTGCTGAATATTACCGAGCCAATTCCAGCATCACAGAATCTGCCTTAAATTCATTGCACTGTCTGCAAATAACTTGCAGGGGCCTAGAGACAAGTCTTGCTGAATGTCACATAGAGGTGAAATCAAGACACAGTAATGAGGGATTTGTTAGCCTCCAGTGCCATGAAAATCTCAGAGGTCAGTAGTTTTTTTAG